ATCTCTTTTGTGCTGATTCCATTAAGGCAGACAGAACTCTTATCTGAAGTCTGCTGAAGGCGGCCTGCGCCATCTGAACAGAGGCATCAAGGTAATGGAAACCCTGTAGAACAACTGCAACGTTTAAAGCTAAAGAGCCTGCCTTAGGCTAACAGCCACTAGGACATATACAGAGGGAGGGACAGGAATTGTGTTTTACTGTTTCTTTTGGATCCTTTGCTCAGTATGCATGTGGATATTTCCTTTTAATAAATGCCTGATAACATTTATTAGGGGAGCGGTGGCACAGTGGGTATATCCCACTGTCTTAACATCTGAACTGTGTTAGTTCAAGCCCCGCGCTGGTGTGAGCAGCCAGCCTGTTGTCCCCAGCTCATCGTCCACCCAGCGTTTCGAAAGCTTTGGCGAGTAGATAAAATGGGAACCACTCCTTAGAGAGAGCATGCCAATCTCCCTTGTGGGAGGGTGATAGCTGATGGTCGGACGTCCTGGTCAAGGCTTGGAAGGCGAAACAGCTTCTCAGCTACGAAAGGATCCCTGCAATGGATGTTCCGGCCAGGCGGTGGCAGTGTAGCGACTGACATACGGGTCCTGAAGCCTGGCCAACAAGCAGCTGTGTGTAAAACGACGGAGCCAAGCCAGAAGACGTCGCGTGCAATTAAAAATGAATATGTTGTCTTCCCTATCCCCTACAAACATTGTTAGTCCCTTGTCTATATTGAGTAACTGTACATCGCTTTGAGCCCACTGGGGACAGCGATTAATAAATGGAAAGCATTATTATTATTATCTAATGCTGGTAGCGGTTCTCTGTACCACATTAGACCTCCATTGTTTGGGGCACACAACTTTAGAAGGAGCATCAGGATGAGGGGACAGGCAGTGAGTTGGCAAGTGGCTACTCCCCCAGTGGTATGCAAGGCAATAAGCAATCCCCATGGTAACCAGATGCTGGATAGTGGGAGATACAGAGGCGAGGACTCAACAGAGAAGGGATGCTGGAGCCCCTGGTCCTCTCAGTGGGCAGTTCCTACAAAGGCCACATGGTGGCAGCAGTTGAATGGAAATAGGGAGAGGAAAGCCCCTCCAGGTGTTGGGAAAGCCAGGTAGGTGGCACATGCCAGGATGGCCACTGATGCCCAGGTGATTCAGAGAGCATGGCAGAACAGGGTCTGCAGGTCAGAGCATGGCTGTTCTGCCACAGAGTGCAGGATTTTGGCCTGGCCTCCAGTGAGCCATCCCTACTGCTGCTACAATGACAGTGTTAATGGAAAGGGCAGCTGCAGTGTGTATTTGTGTGTGTGTGTAGAGGTGTGTGGTACTCTGGTGGTGTTGGCAAGCTGATTATTAGCTTGGCCCGACCTTAGCCAATGGCTCATACTCAGGGCTCTAGTCGGGGGGGAGCTCTCAGGTACGGAGCTCCGGAAGAGAACCTCTAGGGGGCGGGGCGGTCACGTGGTGAAGCCCCGCCCCCTTCTTTACCCCGCCCTCTGCTTCGATCCTCATTCCGTTTGGGAATGAGGATGAAGCAGGAGGGTAAGTAGCCGGGCCTTCTGACACACTTCCGGTGATGTCAGGGAGTATTAATGGAAAGGGCAGCTGCAGTGTGTATTTGTTTGTGTGTGTAGAGGTGTGTGGTGTTGGCAAGCTGATTATTAGCTTGGCCCGATGGCTCATACTCCATTGGGCAGGGGAGTACAACCTCATAAATTCATCATTCTGAGCCCCCATCTAATGTCAGCTATGCTGCCATAAGGGTTGGGGGTGGGGTGCTAGCTTGCCAAGACTGCTGCATTCCTTTTTGTCTTCTGTAATGCTTGCTTATCTATGGCCTTGCAGGTGGTGTGTAGTGTCTGGGATTCTAGGGAAGCATGGGAGCACGTTCGGTTCTCAGCTTTGGCTCTAACGGCCTGGGGCTCCTTCTCCCGCGCGGGGGAATGTGGCTAATTGGCCTGAGGAAGGGTGTGTGTGCATACGAATACCCTATATCCCATTATGCTTGTAGGGGCGACGCCATTCTTAAAGGTGCCTTTGTTAATGCATCTATAGCTCTTCAATAAAGTATAACCTTTCCAATAAGCGTGTACTCAGTTGTAGGCTGTGGAATCTGTTTGGTGCCATCAGTAGCATTGTTTATTTGAACTGGAACTGGAAGTATCCCTTTCCTGTTCCTTCTACCCAAGATCCTCTTAACTGGAGTGAGCACAGCAAGCATTCCCTTACTTCTTCCATTCCTTCTGGCTCCTAAAGCAAGGGAATATGAAATGGAAGGGAATATGGAATACCTTTTGAGATTATTAGCTCACAGCATAAGAAGTTTGAAAAAGTGTGCCTTGCACATGAAAGTTCATACCCTGAATAAACCTTTGTTGGTCTTAAAGGTGCCACTGGACTCTAAATTCGTTCAGCATAAGAAGTGTGCAGCAGTTGCTAATTCGTTGCATAGACTGCAGACATCTTCTCTCAAGGGAAAAGTGCCTGCATTTCAAAGATGTCCCACTTCCCCCACAGTTAAATCACAACCAGCTGTTATTGGGAAAATGCAGCTTTTCCCTGACCTAGTGTATAGTCGTCTCATTTTGGAGAGCTGCCTAGAATATGGTAGTGTAAGAGTTGTTCAGTCGCACAGTCGAGTCCAACTCTTCGCGACCCCATGGAGCAGATCACGCCAGGCCCTCCTGTCTTCCGCCTCTGAAGTTTGCTCAATTTCATGTTCATTGCATCTATGGCACTGTCTAACCATCTCATCCTTTGCCGTCCCCGTCTTCTTCGACCTTCCATCTTTCCCAGCATCAGGGTCTTCTTCTCCAGGGAGTGCTCCCTTCTCATTGGGTGGCCAAAGTATTTGAGCTTCAGTTTCATTATCTGGCCTTCCAGGTAAC